TTATATTATATTATATTATATTATATTATATTATATTATATTATATTTATTATATTATTATATTTATTATTATGCTATATATGTTTCTTGTTTCTCTGCTGTCTGAAGTACTGGGGGTTGGGAGGTACATGCATATCAGTGTTTCTCAGTCTCAGTAACTTTTAAGAGGTGTGGACTTCAATTCCCAGAAATTTCCAGCCAAAATTTCTGTATATTGAACTTCACATATCTCAAAGCTGTTGAGGTTGACTAACACTGATTGATGTGTATGCATACAATGGCTTCCATAGGTGGGGGCTGGAAGGTGCTAAAGTAGTCAAGACCTCCACCCTTTGTGCATTCGTGCAACATTATCATAAATACTGAAAGAATAGGGCTTCATTCACACAATTAGGATGATCATCTTGACTTTTTGCTCTCCCCATGGACACCCCTGTATTTGCATACTCTCTTTCTCTCTAATTCATTGACATCAAACAGTATTCGGTTGCTTATATTTGTACTATTATTATGCCCCATGTTCCAATCATTGCTTATTCACACAAAAAATTATGCTTTATAGAGTGTCTGATCAGTGCCAAATAATAGTTAGCAATGGGTAAATTGACTTCATCAGTAATTTAATGGTCTTAATTTTGCATTCCATACAATATTGTATATATGATTTGAACTTCACATTCATGTTCAGAAAGAGTGTCAATTAACATGACCTCAAAAGAGAATTATTTAGTTTCTTATGATCTGATCCCCAGATTTCCAAGGTTAATCCAAACTATAGAACAATGGTAATTTTTATTAATTATTTCTGTAGAAAAATGAATCAAAAACAGCTGTTTTAAATCAGCCACATGTACTTATTTTTTTAAAAATGGCTTTCTTGTAGCATTTGAGATTTACTTGACCAATACTTGAACTCAGGAAGATAAAAGTAGAGTTTTTTATGGTCTGTTATTCCTAGGAACTATTATCTTTTTTCCTTATCTCTGAAAAATTAAACAGTGTTCCAAAATTTTGGTTAAATTATCTTAGGTTGTTGTTAAATTTAACAATTATTTTCAGGTTACTGGAATAACATTCCATTTATATGGACAAATGACTACCTCGGTATATAGCCTTATCTAAAATAATATTTCCTTGTCTCACAGTAGAGTAGAAGTGAAGAATAATGAAGGCCATGGTTATTTTTACTCATTACATTTCTGATAGCAGAATTTTTCTTGCTTTTAGCACTCAATTTGTATTCTACATATAATAAAAAAATACATGGATGTTAATGTTTTAGATCCACACCTCAGAGTTGGATCCACAAAGTGTAGGAAAAAAAATAGCTACCAGCTGTATTGCATAATTTCTTAAGTTATTAACAGTATGGAAGTTACATCAGAGAATCACCCTGTGTTATCTTTTATTTATAGAGCTTTGTTTACACATTGTTTTAGCTATTTTGATGTCTGTCTATTGTCCCTGCAGTATAAACTACATGACAAACAATGTAAGATGTCCCAAAGGTGCTTTTTCAAGAGGCAACTGGACTTTCTTGCTTTTTCTTTGAAAATGCTTCGTTTCTCATCCAAGAAGCTTCTTCAGCTTCTTCAGCTCTGAAACATCGTCAAAGAAAAGTCAAGAAAGTCCAGTTGCCTCCTGAAAAAGCATCTTTGGGACAACCATGACCTGGATGACTGAGAATCTCTACAGACTTTGAACAATATAACATGTTCTTATAAATAAAAGTAAATCTCTGGTCCCAGTGACCCAACCCAAATTCAATTTCGAATCATTATCCTGGGACATGTATATTTACCTTCATTCATAAAATGTTCTCTCAGGTATTCTTTAATATAAACTGGATGTATTAATTGTTCTTTAATAAAGTGGTGGACAACCAGCTTTTTGATTGAGTTTTCCTTGTCCATTTAAACCTTTAGCCATATTAAGTTTATGCCATGTGTATTTATCCCAGCCATTTGATTCCAGAGACAATTAATGGTTCATTTTTCTTCTGTATCTGACAGCCCAATGGTAGCAGCCAAGGCAAGGTGCACAATCCATTCCTTCCAACCCCAATGTTGCCGCCACCACCTCCTCCCCCAATGGCTAGGCCTGTGCCTCTTCCAGTGCCAGACACAAAGCCTCCAACCACGTCGACAGAAGGGGGTGCCACCTCTCCAACATCACCGAGTAAGTACAGCCAGAAGGAGGAAACAAGAGGGTTGACATGGGTTTGAAAGAGATTTATGCTTTCATTGTTCTGTAAAATGAAACCTAAGTTAAATTTAAACATTCCTGTCAATAAGTACATCAACTAATGATTTAATGAGAAAAAAAAATGACTGTGCAAATAAGCAATGGAAGATTTCTGCAAAATAGCATCTTTTTTTGAGGGGAGAAGAGTTGCAAGCAATTTGATATGAGCAGTATGTCTGAGTCTTATTAATATCACATGCCTTCAATTAAAAGTGTATATTTTTTTTCCTTGTCAAAATTTGTCAATGTTTTACAGTTTTCAACAATGCAGAAACATCTTATGCCCATTTTTTCTACTATTTTATACTATTCACCAGAATGCATTTCTGGTTTAATGATCATCCTAAGATAATGCTTTACAGCTTCCAAAAGGAGAGAAGAAATTTCTTGGTGATATGTGGTCTTTACTTTAACTCTGAAAACAGCAGAAGCACGAAAATTCTATTGACACTGAATGTGTATTATCAGACTGTAAGAAGAGATTACATTAGTAATAACTCGTTGCATCTGTATTGCCAAAAGAAGGGAAAATATCGAGATGAATTTTCTTTAATTTAAAACTGGTTTGGAAGCATCTTTAAAGGTACCACCAACAAGCAAAGATGTCTGAGCAAAAAGTCTTAAAATCTCATTTTGAGGCTGTCCTCTTTTTCCTTACTGTAGAGAAGGAATGTAACAACTATACAGGCAAGCTGCTATGGTGATTTAACTGTTTGGGTCTCCAATAATATTCTTTGTTTGAACTCATTGCAAAAAAGCCATTTTTAGCAGTGTGAAGCCAACAAATGAATAAATGAACGAGCAAAAACATAACCTGCAGTCTTGTGTTTCAAAGCTTAAGATTTTGACACACCGTATCACACACTGATGCTCTAATCTGTTTAAATGCATATGTAAGCATAAAAATACTTAGACAACCACTTTTTCTTCTCTAAAAGAGGTAAAACATGCTAATAAAAAGAAGACTTAAAGAGTACTGATTGAATTAAGTTAAGTACCCATCTTAGTAATTAAGAAGGTAACAGTCACTTTATACAAGGCTATTAATAACATGATAACTAGATTTAAAGGCCTTTTAGCCTTTACTATCACTACCACTAATGTTGATAATTTGTAGATTCAGCACATCCACTTTGTCATACTCACTCATGACAGACTATTTGGCTAAAGTAAGATAATGTTATAACATGCTTTGTGAGTTCCAAATGCTGTATTTAAAAAAAAAAAAAGAATATTGGTATTCATCCTGACAAGTAAAAATAAAATAAAATTACTAATCAAGGCATTGCATGAAGAAAACATATTCTATGACCTGAATTTTCACACCTTTTATTTCTGCTTCTTTGCAAGACAAAGGGTTGTTGAAAGGTAACAACTTGTATTCTTAATTGTCTCCTTTGTGATCTTTTTTAAAGATTTTATCAAATGCATTTCAAAAGATGGGTCACAGCTGCTATGTGCCTGAAACTTTGGTTTAAACTAGATTAAATAAAACTGAAATTTCCTGATTGCTGGATTTGTTAATCCTCCCAGGGATTTATAACTTATATAGCTATGGAATCTGAAACATGAGTATAGGCAGTTTCACAGTTAGCCTCCTGAAAGCTCCTGATGGGAGCTTCCCACAATCACAAATAGGTGATAAATTATTATATGGAAAAATGAATGGTATGCCATAGTAGATGAATCTTATGGGAGGGCTACATTAAAACAAGGTGAGCAGTTGAACTGACTGGCTTTGGAGGATTACTTTTCATATTTCTTCTGTCAGGTTCTTGTCCGCCTCTTAGTACAGCATCTGTAGAAGATCAAATATTATCACCAATCATATAAGAATAGCAGACCTGCTTTAACCATATATATCATCCTCTTTGGAAAGATGAAAACGCATGCTGTATTAGATTAACACTGCCTGGGATTTTGCTTTGTTGACTATATTTCTTTGAGGGTAATAATTATTTCAGAAAAAGAAGGAATTTTAAGACTACCCTCTGTGCCAAGAAAATGAAAAACAAGTCGCAAGTTACATGTTTTGGAATATTGAATTAGAACTTCTGGTTCAGTGTTGTCAGCTCTAATGCATAACATCTCTAAAACATTAATCCTCCCCTGATACATTATCTGGGACCAAGCAACTGGAGATAATGTCTGTTACATTTCAGATATTATTTGGGCAGAACAAAGGCTGTTTCATCCTGTGTGATACATATGAAACCCAGTTTGGAAGGGCAAATATATAAGAATAATAGCAACAAGAACAATTATTATTTCAGATCAGCATTTTTCATTTCTTAAGGGCTTCTCTAAAGTAAATGATTATTTGATGATTAAAATACTGCCAAATGGCAATGAATGATTGTGGCATTCAGGGGGTGCTAAGAGATTGTGAAGTATCTTACTTTCTTTTTGTTCTCTGTCTATATTTTTGTCGTTCATTCATTATAAACAATGTACTCTTCTGCACCATGACCTCATGCATGTAGAATCTGTGGTTTTGCTCTCTAAATAGAATTTGAAACATAATAGATAAGCATCATTTAGATCAGTTTTTTTTTCAAACTTGGCTACTTTAATATGTATCGACTTCAACGCCCAGAATTCCCCACCCAGCATTACTAGAATTCTGTGGTTGAGGTCCACTCAACTTAAAGTTGCCAAGTTTGAAAAACACTGATTTAGAAGAGTCAAAGTTGCTACTACATAAATAATTGTATTAGAGATGTTTTGGAACCATTCAGTCTGCATTTACTTCAAAGTGGGACAGACTGCTAGCCGAATTAGGAAAAAGATTTACAAATATGAACTTCAAGACTGACAGTGTATAAAATTGGATTTAAATATTTGGAAACACATATAAATAGGAATTTATGTTGATGATGCATAAATAAGAAGTAACCATTATTATATTACATTATAGCAAAAAGAAATTTTAGATTTGATGTGATGAGCTTCAGCTGGCTTGGTTTGTAGATAATTAGTAAATAGCTAATTTATTAGCACATAAGAATTGTGTTTCATTCATATCCCTTCTACGTGTAACAAGTTCCTTTGATAATGTTAGATATACATCAGAGGTGGTATTCAGCAGGTTCTGACCAGTTCTGAAGAACTGGTAGCAGAAAATTTGAGTAATTCAGAGAACTGGCAAATACCATCTCTGACTGGAGATTTTACAGTATCCTTCCCCTGCGCCACCCACCAAGCCACGCCCACAGAACCAGTAGTAAAAAAAAATTGAATCCCACCACTGATATACACACGGGATCCTTTTAACACAAAGTTGTAAGAACATAGGAGATTGTCTGCACAGGTCATATTATTTGTTCATTTAACCAGTATGACTGGTTTTTTGTCTCCAAATCTTGAGTAGAAGACTTTGCATGACATGACATAAGATATAAGAATATTTATGAAAGAGAGAGACAGAGAGAGACAGAGACATATATATTTGGATATATATAGATTATTACATAATTCTTATGTTCATGTGTTTTATGATGGTATTTTCTGAAAAGTATTGTGTATTTCTAATTATTTTTTCTAATGTTAGTTTCATGAGAAGCTCACTTAAAGTCATAACTGTTCCCTAGCTAAATATTCTATTTCGTTGGGTTACACAATAGTTTTATGATGGACCATTACTTTGAAAAGGGCAGAGATTATCTAATTTATACCATTAATTATGTTATTAGAATATTGAAATAACACATAAAGCATTATTACAATGGTTGTAAGTATGAAAAACAGTAATGTCACTTTTCAGTGCAGTCATAACTTTGAATGGTCACTAAATAAACCATTGTAAATCGAGGACTACCTGTACTCTATACTGACCAATAATAGAGAAGGGAAAAAAAATTAGAAATCTCAGAGAAAATAATTAAGGCAGAAAGCAGAAGAGGATTTGTAAGACTTTGCTATATAATGTTAATGTCAGGATTCCAGCAATGGCCCTAATTAACTCATGAGCTAACAATTAATATTGTAAGGTGTCACATAGTAATAGTAAAGAGGCAATGTTGTAATAGAATAGTCATACAATAAAATAAGATATAGAAGGAATATTTAATAGAAATTAAATAATAGTATAGTAATTTTTTATAATAATAGTAATTTGCATAATGATATAGAAGTAATAGCAATAGAATATAAAATAGGATGATGACAATCGAAAGCATTCATATTTCACTTGTATATCTTGGGTATTTTTTTTCCAAACTAAGGTATCTCCCCATTACTTATAGGGATATATAAAAAGCAACAACCTGTGCAGGATTCAGTGCTTCTTCTGAATCTGGGTCAGTCTATTTGGGTACAGTTTAAAAAAGAATCCTTGATACGCTCAGGAGAGTTTTATAAATCCGAAACAATCTTGTTCCATATACCATATATAGAATTGCTGTACCCATAGCAGTGAATCAGATTCGATCATAAACTAGTTGATGATAGAGGTGGTATAGTCATAGCCCCAAGTCATGTGCTATAGCAACTAGAGATCCAGGAATATTTGTAACTTTTTACATTTTAAAAATTGCCAATAATGGAGCCAAAATTCATTGTATGAAGGATGATAGGTTTGCATAAATGTCATTTTCTGCATGCCTATTTATAAACTATGCTTGCAGTTTATTACATTATGTGTATCACTCATCATATCACTGTGTAATAGAAGCAATTCACAATTTGTTCTGATCTTAGACCAATTTAAAGCACTAGTCACTCAAACATAATATTGCAGTCCCTAAGACTTCTTGCCTTGTACCAGAAAAGCCATTTGAATTAACTTTCCATGCTTAACTCCATATATGCAGTGTTAGTTGATGTTTAAAAAGCAAGATACTCTTCTATTCCCTACTGATGTCCATATTTATTTCTCCATCATTTGAAGTCCAGTTGTCCTAAGTCAGATTCTTGATCCTTATAATGTGACTTCATTTTCATGTTCAACATTTGTTTGGGTGGCTCTGAGATCAGTGTTGTTGTTGTTTGTCTGTGATCTAGTGCTGCTTCCTGAACGCATGTGTCCCTTCCCTTCACAGCCTATTCAACACCCAGCACCTCCCCTGCAAACCGATTCGTCAGTGTTGGACCACGGGATCCAAGCTTTGTAAATATCCCTCAACAGACACAGGTGGGACACTTTCAACTTCTGTTTGCCATGCTGTTTGTTAACAACTTTGTTGTTCTTTAGTGTTGCTTTGGCAAGTGATTTGTGTCTTTCCATCAGTTCATCTTCACAGTCTGAATATTAGTGAAACATCACTTCTGGTAGTTGTTTGTTTTTGTTTTGAGAAATTATCACAGCAATAGTGGGGGGGGGGGGTGTTTCCACAAATATTTATTTCCTCTTCATTTTTTTACCCCAACAATCTTCTGCGGTAAAGATAGTCAAATTGCTACTTTCAGTTCAGAATATTTTTTAATGTTTCATTCTAGGCACTGACATCACAAGACAAACATTATAAGAAATGCTATGACTTATATGAATTTCATGTAACTGCAAGTAGAAAGCCCAGTCCTATTTTGGCAATAAGCAACTATATTTACATTCAAATTTAAAACTATATTTTCCATATGATAAGCTGAAAAAAAAACCCAACATCTGCTTTGAATCAGGTTTGATACCTTGTAAAAAACAACAGCCCTTGGATTTTCTACTGGTCGTCCAGATATTTACAAGATCTGATCCTGCTTTATTTGCTTTGACTTTAGCCAACGTCAGACATAGATACTCTGGAAACAGTCCAAATATGTGGAACATACTTTTTCTCATATGTTTAAAATCAGAGTGTAAGTTTGCCCATTCAATTTGCAATCAGGATTGATAATATCCAAGGCAGTGGCTAAAGGCTTTAATTGCTGCGTCGATCAGGAATACATTGAATGACACAGAGCAAAAGATCCAGAATAGAATTGGTAATCATATTATACTGCGTGCTTGAGACGTGATTTCTCCATTGCAGAGAAAAGCATGCAATTTCAAACCAACCATCCACCTTGCTATGCTTGTTCAATATTTAAAAAAAACCAAGCAAACCCACCAATAGCTCTTCTAAATACATCCATCCTGAAGGGTGGCATCTGATATTTTCTAATATACCTGTAACAAGAGTAATATTTGACCACTCTAAGGAATTGTAAAAGATTTAAGTTTATTGTGAATTGCCTCTGCTTAAATGAGATTAGTATCTTCAGTAAGAATGATACCTAATTAAATGTGGAATGCTGTTAGCCTGCAGTGCAGCTCAACGTGATATTTATCTCATGAGGGGAGTAAAAAATCTCATAGAAAGCAAATGCTTCTCAACTGACTGAAACAATCTTTCTTTGGTCCATGCAGCTGATGCAGGGAATGCCTTGATTATCCTGATTCCATTATCCGTTTATTTTGTGAGTTCATAATGACTGATAAAGTAGTTCTTGTTGAAGCTACTTTTGAGCAGATACCTTTAGCCTTGCACTATAAGTCTAGTTAAGAAATGCATAACTGAAAGTCTGTCCAATACGTAAGCAATTTGTTCATGAAATGTTTGTTGCCCTGATCCTACTAAATTCTTTGCTCACATGTTTTGGAATGCACAGCCTTTGGCATATCACTCAAATGCTAAGTTCAGCTTTCAGCTGTAAAAAGGTTGTATGTATTTGGCTGGAGTGATTTTGTTCTAGAACAGGGGTGTCCAACCTTGGCAACTTTAAGACTTGTGGACTTCAACTCCCAAAGTTCCTCAGCCAGCTTTGCTGGCTGAGGAACTCTGGGAGTTGAAGTCCACAAGTCTTAAAATTGCCAAGGTTGGACACCCCTGTTCTAGAATAACCACAACCCTTGACCTGCTTTAAGAACCAACAGGAAGTATATACATATAAATAAAATGGATACTATTAAATTCAATCAAAGCAAGGGGCAAAGTTAAAACTTTTCTGCATGACCTCACATTCTAAGGTCTTATTCTAAGCAATAACTGCAAGACAAACACTGCTCCTATTTTTTTTTACTCTTATTCAGAACCTAATAATATGGAGCCAAAGTTAAACTTGCTTTATTTGCCATCTCTCAAAAAGTGTTTCAGCTATATTTTTTAATAATATTCAGCATGCTATTGAAACCAAATCACAGGGATTATTGGGATAGGCACTTAAGTTCTACAAATGGAGAAAAAAAGAAATCCCTAAAATATGAATAAAATCCTTTGTAGCTTACAGAACACAGTTCCTTCAGAAAAGATAAGATTAAAAACTGCTTTCAAAGACTTGTTTTATAGCATCAAATGGACCACATTTTTTTTTTTAAAAATCCCTGGACGTCATCCTGAGTTTGACCAATATTAATTTAACCTCATGATTAACTCATTTAACTTTTATTGAGCAAATGATACCACAAAGATTAATGCACAATCTTTCACATTCATGTGAAAAATACAAACATTGAAATGAACTTTTAAAATAAATTTACATACACTGTATAATTTTAGATGTTTTTATTAAAATACACATTTTGTTAGTCTTTCTGGTTTGGCCCTTGAATTTTCCTTTGTAAAACAAAGTTGTAAACAGTCACATTTGTTTTTACGTATAATTTTCTTTCAGATCATCCCTTTTCAGGTTTGTCCTTATGGTCGCCAGATTGATGTCTTAATATGCCATAATTGTGAAGAAAGAAAAGAATTAGTTGCTTTTTTAATAAAAAATTTCTGTGCAATGTTTTCAAAGTTAAGAACAAGGTAGTGCTGGTTTTATTTGGCAATTATAATTTTTAAATAATAATTAAGCATTGGGCTGCAGCATTCTTTTCCTATTGCAAATTCCAGTAGGAAAACTAACATTCTTGAAACATTTATTTCTCAATAGATGAGCTGGAGTAGTTCCTTCATATCCCCTAATATGTCGTTCTCCCATGTCATCTGTATATTGGGAGATGTTCTGAAGAGAAAAACTTTTCAAGCAGATTTACATAAGTCAATGGACTTCAAGGGGATTGGACTTGGGGCTGTTATGGGGGTGTAGAATCTCCAAACTAATGATGCATTTGACCCCACCCTTGGGCTCAGCCAGGTCATCTCTTATTGTAGAGCAACAATGTTGAATATTGAATTGATCATTCAATATTCATTGTTGTGATGCCCACACTGAACAGATGCTCAGTCCAGTGGATAGTTGCTTATGTATCACAACTAACTAAGTTGTGGATCTTGTCATCAACTACTGGATAATATACTGAATAATCTCTCTCCTAGTTTAGGGAATATCACAAGATCTCAAATAGAGGCTGCCCCACCTGACCAAAGGGCAACAAGAATCAATACGTTGCAATCATATGTCATGTGGTTAATTGCCACAGTTTGACTATATAAACTGGGCTTAATTGTGTACCTTTCAGTGTGTTCCACAAAACAATCATTGCATTTCTGAGCCTGTTATCGGTACAATATATTTTTACAAAGATACTGTTAGTCACCTACTATAGATGAAATTTAAAAAAAATTAGTTTGACATAATAAATAAGAATAGTCAATTTGAGCAATGAGAGTATCAGTAGCCACCCAACAGCAGCAATTAGCTAGAATATAGAAAGAGGCAATGTCATATATTCACAAATCCTGTGAGGATGCCTTCAGTGATGAAGTCAAAACTTTTCACAACTCAGAATGAGAGCACTGTTGGCTTTTGAAGTGATTTCTCCATTTGCAGTCTTCAGTAAGGGCTCTTTATAGCTGCATAGATGGAAGTGGTTAAACTGTGTTGGATTTCAAGCCTCTGCACCGAACAAGGTCACAGAAAGTACACCAGTAATTCAGGGAAATATTTTAACTCTTTGAGGCCTATTTCCATTGGGTAAGTAACAGAAAGCAGCCTTCGTTTCTGTACTTCTATAGTTCCAGCTCCCTTGAAGACCCTCTAATTCAAAGGATGTAACAAGAAGAGAATTCACTTACTTTTACATTGAAACCATGCTATTTCTTTTTCAGTCTAAGGCATTATATTAATATTGGGAGGAGTTTTAAAGCAAGCTATTTAAAGCTACAGTTCTGAAGCCAGTTATACTATAGTTTATAAACCCTATGTACATTTATGCAAAAGTACATCTCAGTCAACTCAGTTCAGCTTCTGGACAAGTAAATATTGTTAATAATTTCATGGTGTTAATTCCCACGACAGAGTTTCAAGTGTTTTTATTTTATTTTATTTTATTTTATTATTTCTTTGAGTAGCAATCAAAGAATCTTTACCTGCTTTGTCCTAATCATAACAGTTTCACTATAAATCCACTAGAAGTACATTTTTTGTTACAGAGAGCAACAAAAATGTAATCATGAGAATAAGCACGATTGGATAACAGTTCATTCTTTGGATTAATTTATCTTTTTTTAAAAAAAATCATAGCATTTAAACACAAAAATAGTAGGTGACATTTATGTTCAGGTTTAATATTCTTGAAAACAAAATCATGTTTATAAATTGTTAAAACAATTGAAAATGACATTTTGTTAAAATTTGGACATTTAAGTTTATTTTCCTTCTTAGCTCATACTTGGGGCAATACATGATTACAATGATCGTCCCCAGTCTTGGCCCTTTACAGATGTGCTTATCTACAACATCTACAATTCTCTGCCTATAAAATCAATGTTTATTGGCTGGTGGGAGTGATATTCCAGTGCAACTGCTGAAATATTTCGGGAAGGTTTACATTGTAGCCTTCCTATGTAGAGAATGTAAATATGTTATTTGGCTGGATGAATTAAAAATTTTAATATTTAATTGAACTTTTCTATTTTCTTTCAAGATAATAGTCCTTTTTTGACAAAAGATTTGTTCATTTGTAAAAATGTACAAATACCATCCTGTTTATATCCTGTAGCAGTAGACATCTGCTGAAAATAATCCATTCTCTTTCCTTGATATCTAATATTAGGGGCTCAAGTGATATTAGATAATGCTGTAATTCCTTTATGGTAACTCTGGCGGATATGGCAGACTTTCAGATTATTAGTTCTATGAACTACTAATCCATGCCACTCTGTAAAGTGAAAGCTAAAACTTGCTTCACTTTCCTTGCCAGCTTTCATTTAGAGTAGTGATGCTTAAAGATGGGACAGCATAGATGCTTTGCTTGCTATTATGCTAGTATTCTTA